GAATTTTAGAACAAGTTTAGAATAACGAATAGAATTAGTAAAAGAAGATAGATAAGAGAAAATAAATAAAGTGTTAAATATTAAAAAAAAAATAATAATAAATTAAAGATTTCTATTTTTCAATCATACAAAAAAAAAAAAATCTTACTATTCAAATTTAAAACCTGAACTTGTGAGTACTTGAATAATTAATCGATTATTTAAATTTTCATTTTAAAAATAAAATTTTTTAATATAACAGTATGAAAATTTGTTATCAAGTTATCGATATCAAGTTAATGAAAGTAAATAGCATTTGATAAAGATTAAGGTATGTATGTTATATGCATAAATTTTTCGACGATTTTTATAATGTATGCATTAATAAAAATAATTAGCATAATCTGTGGGAAGTATTGCAAGTAAATGTACATCGAAATGATGGATTCGTCGCGCTTCCCTGCACGGCAAATACTCTTAAAACTAACTCTATTATCAGTATCCCTTTTCTCCGTATTTATCAAGCAGCGTACGCGACAGCGCATTTTTCTACATCCCGAATGTAATGAATTCACAGTCGTAGTACTACGCTATAGAGAAATAATTAAGTATCCGGTCGCACGCGATTTATTCACGATGGTTGCGGCGTAACGAGATCGATTTAGAATCCTATCCAATGAGATATTCGCGGTCTACGTGTTAATCCGGCCATGAAGCTATCGGCGATATCCATCTTAAAACTTAATCAATATTATTCCGCCGCGATAAACCAGTCTCGCGCATCGCTTGTCGGGCTTAAAAGCAGCATCGAGGCTAAGGGAGACATTGACGAGTCGTCGTCGTTGTCGTTACCGTCGTCGTCATCGTCGTCATCGACTTCGCCACTCGAGATATCGCGTTGTCGATCGCAGAAAGGAAGTGTCGCGCTCGCGCTTCGCCAGTTCATTATATCGCATTAATCGAGTGTCATGGAATTGAATTTCTCGAGGTGTCTCCATATCGTTTCACAAGTACTTCATTTAATGCGCACCGACAGCAATATGGAGGCTTTAAATACATCAGATATCACAGGTGAAATTCTCCGACGTGTGCCTTGCCACTTATCCTCAATATGAAATTTTTTATCGGGAATAAATTCTTTTTAAAATCCAGATTCGAAGAGCGAAACTCTCTCACACAAAACTGTTTACAAAGTTAATGCTTAAGAATAAAGAATAACGTTTATTTATAAATTTAAATATTGTATATCTAAAATACGAATCTCGAAAGTTATTACGCATTTATATTTTGTGTAAGATAAAGATATATATGTGAGATAAAGAAATATTTTTTCGTGGTAAATAATTTTAGAAAATATTATTTAAAAGGTAATTAAAAATACCGTTTGAAAGTGCTACATGTACGATCGCTCGGAAACTCGTGAACTGAGCGCGCACACATCCCGTGCTCGCGCGAGCTGCAAAAGGTGCTTGAACCCGATATCGAAGTGCAAAGCTTTCCTCTCGTACTCGGCACACGTTAGCATATTCATTACTCGCCACTTAACTCGAGACTTAAACCCTCCCAGAGCTTGCAGTGGGATCAGCACTATTAGTGTCTCTCCTTTCTCCCTGTCCTCTTCTTTGTGTCTTTCTCGGTCTTCCTCGCACCGCTCGCCGACTCTTTCGTCGCCTCGGAATACTCCCTCGGAATACGTCCCTCTTGCGGTCTTTGTGGTGTTTGCTTTGTCTAATCACGAGTGGACTTGTAAGCCAGTCTTCGCGAGAAGGCGGAAGTCGGCGGATTTGCTGGCGAACCTACAGAAACGTGCTTCGCAAATTTCATCTTTTCAGTCGTCTCCTGCTTTCCTATTTAACTATTTCTCTCAAGTTTAAGGGAGTGTGCTCAATCGAGAGAGAGAGAGAGAGAGAGAGAGAAATGATATTTTTATAAAAACAAGAAAATAGACATCATTTTGTCTCATTTTAGTTTCTTCTTTTAATTATCGAGTTGT